AGCAGTATCCATTTGATCAAACCTATTCCATGTGTGTGACAACTTACTCTGCAGTTTCTGAGTCTCGCTGACATTATTACTCCCACTATAACTACTTAACAAAGCGTCTAACTCCACACACTTCCTGGAAAGAGCAGCCTCATCATCAGCAAACTTAAAAGGATAACTAGGGTACTTAAAACTATCACCAGCTTTTTCCATACGCAGAGCCATAGAAAGTTGAGATCGCATCCCTTCTGCGGTGCCAACATTGAGACCTCTAAAACGAAGTTCCCACTCAAGCTCCTCTTTCTCCAAACGATTAATAAACATTTTACGAGCCATCTTAATATCAAAACTCATAAACTCGATATAAATATAAGTTCCAAAATATACAGTATATAGTGCGAAAATAATAATAAAGTCAAAATTTCAACTATAATACACAATTAGTTGACTTTCTTTAAATACTCAAAATTCAAATAGTAAAAATCATTTAAAAAGGTGAATCAATGAATCAAATTGGTACACTATTCAGTTCTTACAACAAATGGTAAATGCATATACATATACTCAATTCTATCAGCATGAAAATTATCTAAGACTTATATTCATCAAAAAGCCAAGGTAATTACTCAAAATATAATATTTTAAACACGACGGCCCCACGTTGGGCGCCAAAAATGTAACCTACGAAATGAACTTGGTGATTCCACCAAAATTTTGAAACTAAAAAAAAAAATATTAAAGTATTAACTACAATTAAAAATGTTGTCTACTACGGTTACACAAGTTTCGGTTGTTCCGGTGTCAACCTTCGGGCCTTCGACGTCGCTCAGACGGCAGCTAGGGGGTGGATAGCTTACAAAAATTCCGGAAATAGTAGACAAATAAATAGGCGCCAACTGGGTCTATATAGTGGCCAAACTATGATCCTATTTCCCCAAAAACCCAGTAAATGAGGAAAGAAATAAAAGACAAACCTCAACTTATGTTCCTTTATAAAGAAAAAAATATTTACTAAATATACAAACTAATTTCCTAATGGCTTAGGTAATAAAAAAAAAATTGGAGGAAATTAAAAGGAAAATTTACACTGTATATGTATATGCATAACCCAAAATAAATTATTAAATCAAAATATAGCACGGTTCGTCGTTAGCTTGGTACCAGGCATGACGCATGCGCAAAATATTAATTTCCACCTTATATAAAAAATAAAAGTTAACTTAAATATTGTGCATAACCGCACCTATACTACATCATATATTATAAACTAAACAGTAAACTTGAAATCCTTATAAGCTTATAACCCTCTCCAAATTGGGAGGTGATATCTGCTTAACTTTTAGTTAAGACCAAACTACCCAAAAGAAAATTATTAAACCATGAAATTTTATAATTAAGTATAATTCATAGAACTAAATAAAAAATATAAAAAAAATAAATAAAAATACAACATATAAAGGACTTTAGACACAGAGGTTATTTACTTAAACTCCCAGATTGGAAGAGGTTACTTAATCTCTGCCACCACACGGGTCTTCTGAGATTGCTTAACTTAATCGTTAAGTCTGGACCATTTAATAATGAATAAATTAAAAAAAGTAAAATTATGGCAGTAGCCCTTAATAACTGAAGAATTACAACTTAAACGTGGAAGCAGTCCAAGTGTTCTGCGACCGGAAGGATTACTACATCAGCATTAAGTGCTTAAATTAAGTAAAAGCTTGAAATATTAATCAATTAAACGATGTACTATTTGATAATACTTAAGTTATGAGTGAAATAACCCTAGAATATTCTGTGCTCAAAAGTATAAATAATGTTGAGAATACCTTGACAACATTCGGTTGAAAGTGAATGTATAGTTTAACAATGCGCACATGAAACTTCAATATAACGTATAAAAAAAAAACCTGATAGTAGGGTGTCTTCTTTCACAGCATTCCCATCTTCCTATCCAGAACGAGAATCATCATTGTAAATCTAGCTACAAGTAAGCTAGGCGGTTAGCATACCAATGTTCTGTGTTCCCTCGATGAAACCGTTGAACTCCGGACGATATAACCCTCTGTGTACAACTGTTGAAATCCTGGGTCAACAACCCCCTGGTTGAAAATGTCGTCTAATCCTGGGCTAACAACCCCCTGTGTGAAACTGTCGTCGAATCCTGGGTTAACAACCCCCTGGGTGAAAATTGTCGACGAATCTTGGGCTAACAGGCCCCTGGGTGAAACCCTTTTTCGTAAAGGGTTAACTTGGTAGCCTTCCAAGGATGAGAAACACGTGAGATGATTCACAGCACAACAATATTCCACACTCCAAATGCTGTGAACTCCCAATTATTGCGTTAAAATCCTATAATAGATATGGGCTGGACCAATGACCATAGGAATTTTCCAATACACTAAAATTCCTCTCAAAATACGAAATGTCCATTTACCCACAATTAACCATGAAGTAGAATCTAAAATCCCCTTTAACTAGGGTAAGCCGATGGGGCTAAATATTAAGAAAATTCTACTTCGACACAAAAATCGTCTTTTTCGTGACTCAACACACACTGCCAGAAACAATACGTCAGCCGTCCAAAATGGCCGAAATCCCTTTCCGATAAATGTCAAGTGGGTTCAGAAATTCATCCTCAAGAATTCCCCACTATATAACTTAACAGACCAATTACGAAAGGTACCCTAAAAACTATATTTATATACAGTATAACTACATTTGGGAAACTGTTCCCGACAAAAATTAATACAACAGCGATCGCAAAAAAATCCCTCACGACTTAAAATCGCTCATTGTGAAACTACCTTACCTCGGGTTCTGAGCCCGATATTGGAACGTACTACAAACATGACACTTGTCGGTGTTCTGTCGTCAAATGACGTTTATGTCATTCACTGTCATAATTAAAAAACAATACTGACAGCTATAAACACAAATAAACAAAGAAAATCTTAAAGAATGGTATCGTAAATAATTAATTACCCAAAGGTGAGACTATAATACATAATATGTATAAATTTACAACGAAACTTGGTCTATTTTTAGGAGAATCTGGCAAATTAAAACAGTGAACACTACACTGTAAATATGACCATTGTACAAAGTATTATACTAGTGGCGAGATGAAATAAATTGTAATAATGATGTCCAAAAGTTAGAATACAGGTGAAATTAGTTAATGACAAAAATAATAGTGATATCATCAATACGATTTTACCCTTTTTTTCGTATGATTAACCAGGTAAGCCAAAACAATTTTATTAATTCGTGGGGCCAAATATTAACGTTACAGATCTAGTTTCCGAAGAGAATTAAAAAAAATGAAAGAGTCCAGAAGATCAGGCGCCGGAGCCGATGATGTGTATGTACCACATTTATGGTATTTTGAACTTCTCTTATTTGTAAAAGATCACGAGACCCCTAGACAGTCCGTTAATAACATTGAAGATGTTGGAAACGAAAGTGAAAGTGACAATCGTCATTCAGAAATAGAAAATGAAGAAGATCTAGAACTGGAGGTAAGGTTTAATTTATTTATTGCAATGTCTAGTCAATCGCCAATGCCATTTGGTTCATTAGAGTAAATAACTATCATATTATGTTATATTAAAAATTAGAAGCAAACAATTTTTATTATTTATTACTTATATTTTATAATATGGGTGAATAAATACTGAGTTATAAAATTTCTATTGTAAGCTAGTGTGGCCGAGTGGGTAAAGTTTCACCCCCTCTTTCTTCGTTCTTCACGGGGTGCTGGGTTCAATCCCCGCCCTAGAAAGATCATTTTAAATTTTTTTTGAGGGATGCATTTTATTTTGGTAGATATTTAAGTAATAAATGAGTTTACGTTAAATAATTGATTTATATTGTTTTCTTAAATAATAACTAATAAAAAATTACAGAATGATATTTAAGTAATGCAACAAATTAAACTAGGACTTCACTTTTTAGTAAATTAAATTCTTGAAGGCAGTAAAAAAATAGATATCTTATAAGAGATTTTAGTGCATTTATTACAAAGCCTGAAATAGGTACATACTAGTAAATAAATTAAGAAATCATTCTTTCCTGCCAAGGTATGGCGCCTTCGCTATTGAAATAATTCATAAATAACTGGCTAACTTCTTGTGCATCCTTGTTGGCTCTTCTATTGTAACCCCGTTGCAAACTAGTCATTTGATTTGCTTGCAAGCCTAATTCAACACTGCCATCTTCAAGATTTTCCCTATATAAGTTGTTGTCAGAGGCATACGTAGTGGCATATCTTCTTCTCAAAAAATTATGCAGAACACAGGACGCTATTACCACTTTGTCAATTGCGTTTAAGTTAATAGATATAGCTGTGTGGAATATTCTAAAACGGGTAGATAGTATACCGAAACTATTCTCTACTCTACATCTTGCTCTTGAAAGCCGATAATTAAAAATTTTCTTATCATGATCCAATTCTCTCTGAGAAAATGGTTTTAAGAAATCAGAACGAAGAGAAAATGCTTCATCGCCAATAAAAACAAAAGGCAGTGCTTCTTTACCACCCACTTGTCTTCTCGGGGATGGTATGGACAGTGTCCTATCTTTAAGCTTTCGGTAAAAAAGGCTGTGCTCAATAACTCCTCCGTCAGAGATACGGCCATTTATACCAAAATCACACATAATAAATTCATAGTTTGCGTTAACCACTGCCAAAAGAACTAGACTGTGTGCCTCTTTGTAGTTATAAAAATATGAACTTCTTCCCGTAGGCGGTTTTATGTTGACATGTTTGCCATCTACGGCCCCCAAACAGTTTGGAAAGTTACATTTCTTCTCGAAGTCGTCTGCTATATTTTTCCATTCATCCTGTTGTTGGAAACTAAAAAAATATACGTATTATTTTATTTTGCAGGAAACTAGAGATGATGTAATTGAAAGTCAAGACAGTGAGTTTAGTTTAGTAGAAAGTCCAAGACCGTGTAGTAGTCAGTCTACTATCCCACAGAGTTCATCACATTCTCGTTCCAATCAAGAAAAAGGTATATCGCGGTCTACAGTTCAAAATCAAGGGAAAAAGAAACGCAAGACAAAATCTGATGACCAAAGCCAAAGAACAGATGACGTGTTAGCTCTAGTAGAAGGGAGAATACGCTCCTATAATGAAGATCAATTTGCCATTTTTGGAAAAAATGTCGCAGCAAAATTAAGAGCACTTCCTAAAGAAACTAGATTATATACTGAAAAGGTGATAAATGACCTACTGTTCGAGGCCGAGATGGGTAACGTTACAAAAAATACTAGGATTACTTCATTAGCCAATGATTCACAGAATCTAAACAATTTTTTAAGTGATGGCGCTTTACGTGCTAACACTGCTAACCATCATAACTACAATAATTTAGATCAAAATACCAATCACCAACATCAAGGTCAGACATATTTAATCAATACAAATATATCTGACACAAGAAGTCAAGCTCAAACTTATTATCATACCACGACACTCCAACCACAGAGCCTCGAAATAAATCATCCTCAACAAATTAACAACAGAAGCTCCGACATTGGGCCAATTTCAAATTTTTTTGGAGAGTACAACCCTCTAATTGACGATAACACCAAAACTTACAATTAAATTCAAATATATTCATATGTGTTATTATTATATGTATAACATTATACATAAGTACTTATTAAAAAATACTTGGAAACTTGTATGTATTTTATTTATTTTACTACTTATACAAAGGGTGGTGATTAATTGTGGCCAAACTTGGAGGTGTTGTTCCTTAGTCAATTTTAACACAAAAAGTTAAAATATAAAGATGTGTCTGGAAATGCCTCGTTTCAGAGATACATATGGTGTTAAAACACATTTTATTTTGTATTTTTTTTTTAATAATTTTTTCCCCCAAAATTAGGTAACCCACCCGGTTTATATGAGTAATTATGATTTGTAATCAACTTTTATGTAGCCCATAGAAAGCGCTGAGATCGCCATCATTATTTAAATTTACCCTAACTTGTTTGGCAGTAATTTCTGGTATTTTTTATGTTCTTGCACCTTTCTTTATAAAAAAGGTGCACTTATTTTGAAATTTATGCATCTATGCAGTCCCTTAGGCGCTAGATGGAGTTCTAGAAGTTCTAGTTGTTTATCTAGGGCCTAAGAGACGCAAAACTTAATTAAAAAAATAAATTTCAAAATCCTGTATCTCCTAAACGAAGCATTTCCGAACACATGTTTATATAAAATTTTATTCTTTGAATCGACTGAGCATTAACACCCTTAAGTTTGGCCACAAAGTTAATTAACACCCTGTACTGTAGATACTTACTTACCTTCATATAATCATCCTTCAGTACGTTATAAATAGCGCTACATGTCTCTGGAATTATGTTGCACAATGATTGTGGAGAAATCAGGGTGGAAAATTTCAAGTCTTCATAATTTCTCCCAGTTGCCAAATACCGCAATGTGGCTGATAGTCTTTCATGTGTCGATATAGCAGATCTCATCTGTGTGTCCTGTTTTTCAATAAGTGGTGTAACCAAATTTAAAAGTATTACATAACTATCTTCATCCATCCGGAGATAGTTACGCCAATCGTCAGGTTCGAATCGTAGCTCTTCAAGTAAACTAATATGAGAATATTGGTTCCTTTTTAATAGCCAATCTTTAACCCATCTTCTTCGTGGCCGACGCCTTTTCTTCAATTGATGTTGATTTTTCTTTTTAATACAAATGCACGCCACTGCAAGTAACATTAATTCTTCTTCGCTCGACATGGCGACAATCTTTCAATACGACGCGGCGAAAACTGACATACAAGTATGTACGTGTAGGGATAAAAGTAGACCTACATACATAACCGCGCGTACATCAACGTGCGTTTATGTCTTAAAACATGCGCCAGCGTCTGTATGCCCCTATACATACTTGCGCGTTGATGTTTGCCAGTGTGTGGTGAAAAAATCGCAAGCATGTGCGTCGTACAAGTTTTTGGGTTTGGCTGAAATTCCTCAACGTACAAGCTTGAACGTGCATACAAGATTGTTGGTGTGTGGCTAAAGGTTTGTTCCAACCCCCCGTTCCCGTATCGTCATCAAACGGTTTCCAAACTGTTCGATCGATCGATCGCAGGCGCATGCGTTAGCTTTACACGATTCCGAAACGACCGGTAGTTGGAACGGTTTTGTGACCGATTTTAATCGAAACCATTTTGACAGTTCATTCTGACACTGGCAATCGTCACAATTTTCTAAACTAGTTTTTTCTGTGCTGGCAGTTTGTTTTTTATTTAAAATATTACTTATTTGTGTTTATAAAAAAATTGAGAATTCTGTAGTACTTGGTAAGCTTCATCTACGTCCAAAATAAATTAATGAGAACTATTCTCTTATTTCATTTGATGTTTATTTTAGAATTGCAAGATTTCTTAATAATACCAAACAGCGAAGAAAGGCACCCACTATCCACTTTACAACCCTAAGTAATAGCTAGTACTTCTACTTCGAGTAATTACTCAAACTCAACACCTGAGTTTAAATGGACTGTCAATGAAACAAAAATGCTTATGGATATGTATAGCAAATACAAGAACAAAGTTGGCACAAATACTCAAAAATGTTAAAACATTTTTTAGATTAATCTTTCGATTAAATTTGGCAAATGCATGTATAAAGTAATAAAAAATATTGGTTAGACGGGCCATATCTCTTATTATTCGGATGCTAGACTTCATTTTTGCCAGAAGTGTATATGAATAAAACATTATTTAATAATATTAACAAAATATTTTTTTATTAATTACAGGCAGAGGTCGTAAACATTTCGAATATGAAGCCGAAATGGTGGAAATATTTGAAAAAAAAAAAAAGAATATCCACCCAGAGATTTTGCTTGACAGCAATATAATAGATTCTTCTATTAAAACAACTTGTGAGGAGGAACTATTCATAGAATCCAAAACAGCAACCCAGAATATTACCCCAAAGGTGATCCAAACACCGAAGGCCTCTTCTGTAGCATCAAGGAGATTACGACCCATAGCTAAAAAAAGTACAATGGAAAAAGTTCAGCAGTATCGGAAAGATTATTACGAGGCAAAGCTTCAAATCGAAAGAGAAAAACTTGAAGAAATGAAAAATTGAAATAATTTAATTTCAGAAAAATCAAATTCTAAAAGAATTTAAATGTAACTGACAGTTTACTTCAATCTTGTGATTTAATTTTTGTTTCAATGCCAAAAAGTAATACTTTGTTTTTTTGTAGTTTCGACACTTATTTTTAAGCATTTATTTTTTTTTGTTTCGTTACCAGAAAGTGTTCTTATTTTTTTTTTGTAGCATAAGTAATTAGTTTGATATTTTGTTTAAGTTCCTAGTTTGTTGCATAAATTTTTATGACAACAAATTATTTATTTAAATAAAAAAACTATATTGATAATTATTTTGTTTTATTTTAATACACTAAACTAATATTACATATAATTGATCTGGTTCTAAATCTGAATGAAAAATATATTTAATACTATAAATAACAGAAACACTTGAAATAAAAAAGTAAATTAATTTAATTACCATATTGAAGAACATAATATGTACCTAAAGATAACCCAGAAGCTGAACAGTACTTCATACACAGAATTTGACTGTTCTGAATGCGTTATATTGGTGTAGAAAATTATTTTATAGAGATCAATAAGAATGTCGCATATTTATTTACAAAAATTATGAATAGCTGTTGAAATTACTCTACGATACGACACTATCAGACAAACCGTTCCCTTAAATTCACGAAGCTGTGAGCCGTTCGACATTTCCCCCCTCTCTACGTACCAAAGTACTGTTCAACTTCTGTATTTAGTATACTTATAATTCAAAAAATAAATTTTGAAATCTTATATGTATGTAGGTGTTATATTGGTAAGGCATTTGCCACTCGGTCCCTAATGATAGTAGCTCCTACATCATCAGCCTCCTCATCACCATGTTCATCATCTTGTTCCTCAACTGGATTTGGAATAGGTGGCAAATTTTGTTGATCATTATTTAAAGGCAAATTCTCATCTAGGGCTATATTGTGTAGAGTACACGCTGCTCTAATAAAATGACACATTAATGTTATGTTTCGCAGTTTCAAATGGTACAGCTGTCTGAATTTTTGTTTCAGCAATCCAAAGGTGTGTTCGATGACATAGCGATTTGTAGCTAATTTCAGATTATAGTTTTGTTGCCTCCTTGTTAGGTTACCTCTATCTTTATATGGCGTAAGTAAGTTGGGTTGTCATGGGTATCCGCTGTCCCCCAATAAAAAATGTCTTCCACATTTTTCTTCTAAGGTGTTTTTTAAAGGTGAATTTCTGAACACCCGTGAGTCATGCACGGATCCTGGGTATCCAATGAATATATCAATTATTTTTCTCCTGTGATCACACAGCTTGAATCTAAAATGAACAAATCAAAAACTAAAATAATTTCAACTACATCAAAAAAGAAAATACTTAGTATTATAGCTATATTTAAAAAAAAATGTATTGGGGTTGGGTTGGGGATAAGTTTTAGTAGATTGACATCTAGCCTACCTGTATTGAGTAATATCCTTTTCGATTAATATAAGAGTCTGGATCATTTATAGGCTTGTCAATTTTAATGTGGGACCCATCGATTGCCCCTATAACATTTGAAAACCCATTTCTCCTGAAATGATCTTCTGAAACACGTTTTCAACCATCGAAAACTTGCGGTTTGATGGCCCACATACCATAAATAGATTAGTACCCACAATACAATAAAAAAATTAGGTTGCATAGAAACTTACATTGTTGGAAAGACTTTTTTGCATTTAAAACTAACTTGATCTAAGGCAGGAATACTACCATATTTTCCAGGTTGAGGATGAAAATACTGGCTACCTCCAAACACCTCTGCTATATAATTTACCCTCTCTCTCGATAAACGGAAGTGTTCAAAAAAGACTTTCTCAGAATAGTAAGGGACTGTATTCTCTAAAAAGAATATGGAATACTTATGAACTTGTAAAATTATCAAATGGAAACTACCATTCAATTTGTATACCTATAACTGCTTACCTAAATAGTCTTCGTTTTTAACTCTTTCATTATGTAGCTGCATGTCATCGCTACTTTCTGAATCGGAGAAAAAATCACTTATACCACCTTCATCGTCACTCATGTTTAAAGAAATCAAAAAAATCAAATAGACACTTATTGAACACTACAAACTACAACTTTTTAAACAAAACGATTTAAGTAAACAAATATGACAAATGAAACAGCTGTGAAAAATCATAATGCATTGGCAGATGCTTAATGCGCAAGTCAACCCAAACAGTTCTCAATTTGAGCCACGTACCGATATTACCGTTCTGAAACCGTGACATAAAAGATCCCAAGTTAGGTTGGTGCACAAACAGGATCGTTCGATAACTGTCACTGCACATGGGCGTGATCGTTCAGTGGCGGTTTTTTGATCGGTTGGAACGAACCTTAAGTATTACGCTTTGTTCGCATACATTTTGAGTACAGTGTCTTGCAGATAGGTGGTTGGTTTTCTGATTTCACAATGTCGGATTTAAGACACTTTTACGAGACACAAAAGTTATCCTTGTTT